TATATATATATATACATATATTCATAACATACACAAACAAAGACTATCTTTCGTATTTACGTATTCGTCTTAATCGTAAGTATTTTTGTTATTTTTTTTTATCAATAAATTACGGATCAAAGTCATCGACATCGATAACATTTTTTTGTTGGTACGTTACATACATATTCTGATAAGATGCTAAACACTTATCGACACTTCATCTGCAATCGTCATCTTACCTTCTAGTATGTTTCTATTATTTCATTGTTATACAGATAACGTTGCGCTTATCCATATAACGCGTAACCGTCAATAAAATAAAATAACGGAAAGGAAAGAAGATGGTATATTGTTCGATGTTATGTAGAAGATTTTATATTATAGCCGTCTCATAAAGCGTGAGCTCAATTCAAATCGCTAGTATTTGATCTTTATTTATTCGGTAACACGTGCAACGAAAGTGTCAATTTGATCATGACACTTATGCAAGTTTTCAAAAGCGATATTCTACTTTGTGTGTGTGTGTGTGTGTGTGTGTGTGTGTGTGTGTGTGTGTGCGCGTGTGAGAGAGAGAGAGAGAGACTTAATTATAAAGTTAGTATAAAAAAATCTTCCACTAAATCCCACTTAAAATAAATTCAATTATTTTAATTACGGGAAAAGACACTTAAACTTCTCTACGTATTACAAAGAAAAGTGATTAAAACTAATGTTTCACGTTAATTAATAAAAATCTAGATGTAATTTTATTCGACAAATACAACAATCTACTCCGCCTCCTCTCTTTTGCAGACTGAGAATTTATAGTTTATGATGAATACGTAAATAACGTCTCTTTCTTATCGTAGTATTTTTTACTATAAAAAGAAGGTATTTTAAATATACAAAAACATCACTTTGCAACTACAAACAGATGTGCATTTCCAATATCTCGACGTGAAAATCTCACTTGTATGTATCAAGGCTCTGCTAACGTCATTAAACACGCTTGGCCACTTCACACGCACTGACACTAATAATATACCAATGACCGTAAATACGTTCTATCAATTAAACGCTTAATTATCGTATTCCGTGTCCTGCTTAGACACGAGATTACCTAAGAATATAACAGGGAGTGTCTCGCAAACGAGATATAAAAAATTGTATAACAGAATGCTTATGTCTATCGAGAGAAATGTTAGTTCATGTTATCGTCTTCCCTCGCGTATCTTACGCGCTATCAGATAAACAGGCGATAGATTAACCTTTAAGCGTTGGCTGCAGATACTCTACGCAATTTTCCTGCTGCCTCTGGGAATTAATTTTAGACGGTATCTTCAACTCATCTTGAAATATCCCATAAATGATTCACGATATCGGCAAACATATTATATAAGAGATTCTATGATAAAAAAAAGTATACTTTTTTAATAAAATGTTCCAACAAAAATGTATCTTCGTCTGTTATGAAGTATTGAAGTAATATTTGTGTAGAAAAAAATATCGTTTAAAAAGTACCTATTTTATCATTAATCAAATGTGTATAAAATATTTATATATATATCGATGTTCTAATTATGTTAATAAAACATTAATTATTAAATTATTATTTTTGAAATACTCATTAACATAACTCTTTTAAATACGTGATTTACATTTCTGAATTATAATCGAATAATAATTAAATTAAATAATTGTATATCAGGGACCAATGCTAAGTAGAAATGTGCGATAAACGCGATACGTTGTTATGATATAAATTCGCAGTATCTTGTAACTTAACCTAGTTACATTTGATAAAATCCTTGGCAAACGCCAACAGTATACTTTGTATATGTGTGTAAAACGTGTTATTTTTAAATTAATATTAAATCCTTATAAGAGAAAAAGCATTATTAACAACAGGACTTGTTCAATTGTCACGATTAAGGCATGATCATGAATTTCTCGAACACATATTATTATGGTTTATTATGAAATGTATCAGGCCAGTATTCATAGTCGGTTCTTATTTTAAGTAATGCCGTCTTAATTAATGTCTTAAATCGCTAATGCGGCCCTCTGATTGGTTCATGACGTCTTAAGATTGTACTTAAGACGGTCTTAAATATAAGATCCGACTATGAATACCGGCCTTAATGTCAAAATTCAAAATGGATGAAACAGCATCTCTTATTAAGTGTATCGGAAATGGTTCAAAGATCACTAAAAAAAACTGTCTCAACCATTTTGATGTCAATCATACGAGGTACAAAATTAGTTCTTAGACTGATCGCTTACTTAACTCTTAAGAAGATATTTGAGAGATTTCCCAAAGAATTTGAATTTTGTCTTCTACTTCTTGTTTTTATAAATTTTAAAATAGTCAAAAGCATTAATTTTAATACGACAATATTTCTTTCCTATTTTTTATATTATTAAATTTATTAGATGATCAATAAAAATGATTAACATTCTTGAGGCTTCCACGGGTGTTTTCTATATAAAGATTATGTGTTTTGCGGGTTTTCTCCGTGTCCAGATCAATTCTTGGAATGTTTCGTGAACCTTGCAGTCCACTTCATCAGGGCGAGAAGCAGCCTGATGAATTATCAGGACACGGAGAAAACCCGCAAAACGCATAATCTTTTATAATGATTAACATTATTTGTTCTGAAAAAACTAAAAAAAATCTAAAGAAAGTAAAAAAAACTGAGAGATTATTAATTGTATTGAACTTTCTTCACTTTTTTCACATCGCCAGTTAAGAATTGCTCTAAGAAGATTACTTTGAAAGGAATTACTTTGAAGGGGGAAAATAGAATTAGTCAATTATTTTTTTACAGCGTTAGTCCGGAAACTTTTTATTGCATCTCGTAAGACGTAAGTGACAGAACTTAAGCGTGAATAGGAGTTGTAGATGTTCGAGTAATTCTGTAGTTATTCGGATAATTCGATGAAACTTGAACATGAGATTTCCGATAAAAAATAGTTGAATATTTCAAGTATCTGAATATCAAGATAATCTGCATCTATTTAAATATATACAGATAGTATATGTAGAATTGGTCAAAAATATCACAAATCTAATAAATATGGAAATATATATACTGCAAAATGACGGTACCAATACAAACATGGCAACAATTCAACCGTCTGAAAATATGCATGATATTTGAAGTACTCGAATTATTCGACTATTCGTCTTATCTGAAATAGAATTATTCGCATCTCAAAATCGGATTGCAGTAATATCTAAATATTCATATATTCAAACGTACCAGGATTTCAAAAATTTACTTTACATAGCTCTATTATAAACTTCTTTACATTTATTTGTTACAACATCTTCTTGCATGCATCTAATTTACAAATGCGACCAACGTAGTTCTTATCTCGCTATAATTAAAAATATTATCTCTTAATAAACAATTTATCATAGACAATTATGCAATACATTTCTAAAAAATAATCGCACGCTGAAGGGAGATAATTCTTCCAACGGATTCACGTTCGTTAATTGCTTTATAAACAAAAGCTCTTTTCTAAAAGTTACGAAAAAATTTATTAAAGTATGTGTGGGTATAGAAGATACTCCGCGCGTGCGACAAAGATCAATAATAGTAATTAACAATCAACAGTACAAAAAGGATCCTCGACGGAACGATGAACTTGCAACGTGTTAATGTATATTTAATAACACAACGTAGCAACAGTAGATTATACATATAGTACGTACATGCAGACAGAGCGAATAGACTTACGTTTGATCCTTACATGCATACTACGTGATCAGTTATATTCATGCTTGTACACTTGATTACTCGTAACACGTATTCGCCATTTCATATTTGTTGTATAGTTGCAGCCCAAGATTACCGCCAGGTGTTATAATCCGCGTAATTTCGGTGCGAGTTGCCGATGCTACAGATACCAAAAAACGTATTTCACACCAATTTGAATGTACATTCAGATATCATTTCTGCACGCGAGTGCACGTGTATGTATGTGTAAGTGTCTATAGCATCGAAATTTAAAACTAGCAAAAAATTGTATCAATTTTAAAATCCTGATTGTTTCTATGTTCCTCCAGTTAATTGCTATCACCGCTGATCGCATCCTTCTTTTATTTTCCCGTCCTATTTTATCATTGTTAATCAT